TTGAAAATTCCGTGTTTTTCCTCCTAAATAGCAAGATTTGCTTGGTTTCTATTAGAATATATGAAGATATCCCATACTTTCAAAATTATGTATCATTTTTATTCATTCCGTTCACTTGATCCATTGTTATAGATAATTATGTTTCGAATTTGGCATGTCACAAATTGAAAATTTCACATTTCCTCATCGTTTTGTTCTCAATTATTATTTTCTGACTTGATTATCAGTAGAAATCGCATATCAGTTGTGNAAGATATCCCATACTTTCAAAATTATGTATCATTTTTATTCATTCCGTTCACTTGATCCATTGTTATAGATAATTATGTTTCGAATTTGGCATGTCACAAATTGAAAATTTCACATTTCCTCATCGTTTTGTTCTCAATTATTATTTTCTGACTTGATTATCAGTAGAAATCGCATATCAGTTGTGAAGCTCATTTTTCGCAGACTCATGAGATTTTTTGGCAAACATTTATTCCTTCATGGGTTATTCAAAAATTCAAATTGCGATGGATTTTTCTAGCGTTTTAAGTCGAAACAGCGGGGAAATCAATAGGTCATCCTTTGAGGGCATTTTTCGTTCTTCCAATCGTGACGATGCGAGTTGTATGCTATATGGTGTATGTGTCAGATTTTGTAAGTCACAAATTGCAAAGTTGTTATTTCAGTGTTTTGTCCCGAGATGGTGTCTTTCTCGTAGAATAACTCATAGAAATTCTATGTCCGACATGAAGCTCATTGAATAAGCTCCAAATTGAGAGATTAACCACTTTATTGCGGCCATTTTTCGCAGACTTATGAAAGTTTTAGGCGAAAATGGCTATTTCTATTGAAAAAAAAATCACTATGACTTGTTTGGATATACTCAATCCAAATTAATGAAATCTACTTGGCATGATTCTTGATTTAAATAAATCTTAATCGGTTCAATTAGGGGCTTGATATTCGATTTGAATCAAGAATTTTTTTCTGTGTTTAGACATTATATCGGTTCCATTCGCTGGGATCATTGCAATTTTGATGTAGTTTCTTATTGGTGCAGTTGTCAAGTGAGTTCGATCAGTCGATGCAATCAAGAATTTGACTCAAGAATTCAAGATTGAAGAACAGATACAAATATTTGCATCACTTCTTTAGTGTCGAATTCAGCATCAGAACCACGCAGCCTAACTAGCGCGCGCGTCTTGCCTAGTCTATTCAAATTTGATCCTATCAAAATGGTTAAGTACTCCAAGGCACGCTTAATAGCGCCTACATTTGACAATATTCCTTATTTTTGTGGATGTACACATTTTTGAATAACTATGACTCGAAGTTTCATAGATTTATCGCAGCTGTATTAGACAAGATTGACGATCTGGTTTCATCATATGTAAGATTATCATCTTATTCCGTTCGTGATATTCTCAGTGACTTACGCGAAATATATGGAAAATCTTATCACTCGAATATTTATATCGATTTGATTGATGCATCTCATCCGCGTAAACACGAGAATTTACCTGATTTTGTACTCCAAGAATTAGTACGGCACGTGAAAAATTATATGAAATTTGATCCCTCAGAGTAATTTGGGATCACACCGGTAACTTTAGAACATTATTATATTGGAAGACTCAGAATTATTCTTCCGAAATATTATGCGGATTATTATGATCCCCGCTAGGTCAGATCTTTTTGTGAGGCTCATTCTCGAATTTTGAAAGCTTTTCACAAAATCAACTTTCATCGGAGTCATTTTAATCTCTTTGATCGCCACGGAGGTATCGATATTATTAATGACAATGCCAGTAAACGCACAAAGCCTCAAACTTCAATTCAGAATGAGGAATTAAACCAATCACAGAAGGTTTCTCACCCAAATAAAAATTTTCACGAAAACGAAGATCTCGATACGCTGGATGGCATTCAATTTTTGTTTGAGTCAAATGAAAACCTTTATAGATCACTCAACTACGCAAAAATATTCTTTCACCTCAAATTTTTGAGGGTCTGCAAGAAGAGTTATTTCAAACATGTCATGCGACACCGAGCATACAACCTTCTTTAAATTCAGTCGTTGTACAGCAAAGCGCACTTTATCCAAAGATCAAGTAGAAAATCGAATTATTGCAGCTGATAAAGCAGTAGAAAGTTCCATCACTACAGTTACAGGGGGGGGGGAGTCCTTTCACATTTTATTCTCGACAGCGATCATCATAATGAACATCAAAATATATCTCAAGCTAACCACAAATTATTTGACTCATTCGTAGTGAACGTGTCCTCTGATTTTTCTGAATTACGTGAATTTATAACACTACGAAATTTCGATCCCTCATCTAAAATTTCATGGGGTCATTCGACATTATCGAAAGAAACCATAATCCATTTAGAGCCCAAAATCTCGGTTGATCGATCAATCTTTTGCAAAATTAATTCTGAAGTCGATAAATCAGGAACTCTATCGACTATTCAACACTCTTCAAAATTAATCACGAATAAAAACTTCGAGCTATCATGCACAAATTTTGGAGACTCCGGTACGTTAAATTGGATTTTCTTCAAAAACGCTGACGAATCGACTGCCTAATGTGATGTCCAAAAATTCTAAATATTGAGTTTCTTGTCATTTTTACCTCAAAATTATTTTATCAAATTAATAAATCTAAACTGTGACGAAAGACAGAAAGTCCGAAGCAAAACTGGAGCGCTTGCGATAAGAGTTTCTTCACACCGGTGAGTGAATTCCTCAATGCAAGCGTTCGTTACATACCGGACTATGAACCTTGCCTAAGAAATCGTACTCAAATTTCTGAATCAGCAGGTCGATTCCCTTAGAATAAAAAATGGGAAAAATCACGCCATAATTTCCACCAATCAAAAACCGAATTGTGGAACCCCCAAAAGTCGAACAGCTCCCAAAACCCACCAAAATAACAATCTAGAAACAACTGCAGAGCTGTGAGTTACCTTGGTGGAAATCAATTTCGGAATAGATCTGTTGCTTCAACCTCCCAAGTAATAATTCGCATAGAGTCGATATTACGCGTGGTGACTATCGAATAATATTAAGATAGTGATCGGTTAGAAGTACACAGGAATAAACATTCTTTAATCGAAAGTAGTGATATTTTTTGCATTGTAAGAGGACTGAATTATAGTTACGTGGCTGTGGATATTCTCAAATCCAAAATTCGTCAAATACAATTTTGTAAACTCGAGTGGATGAACGTGATTTAGTGAGAAGTAACCATAACAGTTTCAAGAGAGATTTTGAATAGTGGTAGTGAAAGACTGCTAAATCCGCCGAAGGATCCACCTCTACGGGCTATGTGGTAACCAACATAAAATAACAACTAAGGAATATAAAACGAAATCCATAATCATCATACGTGAGTAATTGAAAACAACAGCAAACATTGTATTCTCACACCTTCACCAACTTACAAAGGACTTCCAAGGATAGAAATAATAAATTCAAATCAACCTTTTATTATCAAACAAAATTGGAAATTAAATTATTTTCGTAACGTTGATTTAAAATTTGAAACTACACGATTGTATTTCACGAAAGAAGGCCAGGAATATATTTTATTTCTTTTGAATATAAAATTCAATACGAAATCTTTTGATAATCAATCCTATTCTATCCTTCATAATCCTGAATCCCATTCATGAATTATTCATATCCATTCAATCAGGGTAAGAGAGAAAAAGAAACTTAGCGTCATCCAATTAAACAAAAGGTAGAACATAATGAAAATTCTCTATTCGAAATTTCAGTCAATAATATTTTACTATAAAAATTCTAGCCCTTGTTCACGGAATTTTAACCTCTTTATTTAAAAGTGGTCCTCCGACGCTGATAACGTCTCCGGACATAACACTAAACTCACGAGACTGACAGAGGACAATGAACCTGAAACCGGAGACATTCTAAATAATTTTGCTTATAAATACGATTCTATCAACTCAAATGAGATCTCATGGGATTATCCGATGTTTAAACCTAAAAAGTCAATCATTGTAAATCTTACTTATCTTAACGATCGTTTTACTCGTCACTATATTCCTTACAACTTCAATGACGAAATTTGTTTACAAAATTTAAACCGAGTCGGACATGATCATAACACATTTTGTATAAATACAAATGGAAAATCCTCTCCACTACTCGAAATTTGGATGAATGCTTCAGACCGTCATATAATATTTTTCGGAATTCTAACGAATGGTATAAAACCTCTCTCGACACTCCAGTCAGACATTCTACTCTGAATGCCAGATTTATTGATAATCTTTTTGATCTTACTCATAGACACAATAACAGTGACCCAGTAATCATTCCACAAAATCTTGATCACAACTTGACGAATTACGATGTGGGTAAATTAGCAAAAGCAACCTCGATAATGAGTAGGTTATCCCAATTTAATACTCATAATCCTAACGATTCACTGTATAATCCAATTCCACTCGCCATTACCACTCTTCGCACTTTCGACCATGGCTTACTCTTATTGATTTTCCATGAATTACCTGGATCAAAAGGAATCACGATGAAATTTTCTACTGTCAAAAACTAATCGTTTGTAATGGTGACAGTTAAATTGAATTGCTTACCGGAGGCGATTCATTCATAATTATTCATACCTGATAATAAAAATAAATAAAAAATTTCTTCCATCTGTTTCGATCTCTCTCCTAATAATTTACCCACTTGAAAATATTCTCTAACTACTAAAATAATCCACATTACATCAGTGCAAATCTCTTTCATTCATGTGAGGTCTATACTAAAATCCATCAGATGAGTCAGTGGCCAAAATAATTGATATCTTATTCCACTTTCGACCTAGAACTTTGAAATTATGTACAGTTAAACCAAGCCAGATGTCAGTTTCAATGACAACGAGTGAGCGAATAATAATAATCTATATTATGGTGAAAATAACAACAGCACTATGAATCGCTGAGTCGAGAACCACACTATAATCTCCGATGCTTCACAGGAACATTCCCGATCGAGACAAGCAGGAGACAACAACTATGTTCCAGACTGCAGAACAACCCTATTCGTACGACCTATACCTGGCAGATGTCATCAGCCACTCCCGATTAAGCTCCAGACCAACCAACACCAACCGGAGACAAGTCTCTTATGCAACTCGTACGAGGGGGACGTAATTACTGTACCCAAGACCTAGCTGCTGCCCGTATCGAGAACGGTACCTCGTCTAACATCGGAGCTATCGTCAACTCACATCAGTCAAAAGAATTCTTATCTTCTTTATCACTACTCATTTGTAATTTTTCATATTCTTCAACATGACGTCAACTTCTAACCATCTCTCTAGTCAAGATAGAATTAATTATTATCCAATTCAGACAGAATTAATTATTATTACTATCATTCATTATTTGTTTAGGATAACGTTGATTTAGATTATATCTTGATAGGAACAGTGAGAGAGAGAATTCAGCGAAACCGTCCAGCAAATTTGATGGAATCCAAATTTTCAATATGAGAAGTCCTTGTCGAGAGATCACGCATCCAATGACATTCATTCAATACCCTCTCAGCATTCATTCTCTCTTGTCGTTAAATTCATTTGCAATTAGCAATCTCGCCTACCCCTTTCCCACAGACTGATGATACTTGGAGCTCAAGAATGTATTCGTGAGCAAAAATTCGAACAGTAACAAGCTGACCCAACTAAGGCTAGGTATGCGAAGACATTGCCCCGTTGGCACGACAGAACTAAGACATCTTAATGAAACTCTGTCCAAATCTGAACTATATGCAGTTGAAGCCAACGAATGATAACTTCAACTTTTCCATTAGGCGATAGGTATGGCCAGCACAACGCTGCCGCCGTTTCATCGGCAGTTCAACTTTTCGAATAATAATGAAGTCGTATAAAAGTCAATTAGTCGGATAATCCTGCTATCCAAATCCATTCCGCAGTACAATCAATGATTCTCCATGATTCAGATAACCCTTACCCTCCCTTGTTTAAAATCATAATAATAAACATTTGAGAAATGAATTGAAACTACAAGAGAGGCAGTAAAGTTACACCAGAAAATGAAGGCCCATCAGAACTGTAACAAAACTCTCAGGAGTATTGGGAAATTGAAATATAAAATTTATGTCGATTAATTTCTTCTCATGTTGAAGATCTTGCTTCTATACAATTCGTAAAATTACTTGCGACATTAGAACTAGAAAGTATGAATAATTTTCCACCACTCCAGGAAAATATGATTTTTGCAATCCATAACAGGAACTATTTTTATGAGAATTGCCAATTTAGAGTAAACTAGAAAACCAAACAGTCAAAAAGTTGTAGTCACAGATGCTAAATCATGTAAAGACCGATCCCAAAGATTTGTCAAAATTTCGTGAGAGTAACCCTATCGATTCTTAAAATTTAATCCATACGTAAGAGAACTAAATTGATGTGATTCTTCATAATCAGCTGTCAAACTATTTCAATCTAGAACTTTAATCGATCGTCTGCATTTTATAGATTCGACAGAAAATCAGAACCGCAGATCTGTAATAAAAATGTAATCCATGGGTGAATATCTACTTTGCGTGAAAGATTCATAAATACTATGGCATGAACCTTTCACGGGGGGATCTTGTGTTTGAGAATTATTAAAATTAATTAATATTTTTAAAATAAGAATAGTTCGGCAAATCCAGCGAACGAAACGCTCTATTCATCAGCTTCAAACGTGGATTCACACATGGAATGCAGTGATCCATATGCGAAATTTCAAAATGCTGACTTTGCAGTCAGACGGCATACAAAATTAGCCTCGTTTTAGCATCGAAAACGATCATACTAAAGGGCGAACTCCTCGGTATTGTCGAATACTTGGTGGGTATCAGTTATATTCCTGCCCGACGCCTATTCTTCAATTCGAGTATCGGTGATTTTATTGACGCAATTACGCACACCTACGTAGTCTCAAATCCCGTGAGTGTCACAGAGAGTTCTTCTCAACTACCGGCTGACGAGCTGCAAAATTTCTCATTACGGTTTGTTGGATGAAACGAATTCATTGTGATGTGCAATTGATTACCATCTGAACTTAAAATCTACATTATTATCTAGTGAAATATTGAAAGATCTCCAAACAATTATTTGAGAAACTTATGAGAATTGTGAAATAAGTGAAATAATATTCATAATCAAAGATAAGACTACATTTAGATTGCAAGCTGGTTCGTGCAAAACTTCTAATAACATGATTATTCTGGCCTTGATCTCAAATTAATATTGTTTCATACGAAAATCCATTCATAACTCAATTAATCTCACTCTCACTCTTAAAATTTCAACTGTTCGAATTCATGTATATCGAAACCCCCAAAGATTTGTTATTAAATTCTTTTCTCATTATTGGATTTTCGCTTGTTATCTTTGAAACTCATCCTGATCACCTTTTGATTAGTTATTCGATTTGACAAAGCTATCGAGATAAGGAGTATCAAAGACTGAACCGTAATTGGAGATGTGCCTAGCTCTTCAAAGTTTAATAAGTATCCACTAAATACAAATATTATTTTGGTGGCTACGAGGTTGAGTTGTGTTTTATTTATGACAATAAACAAATCCCAATTCACCCGAACCGAACAAAAGCGTCAATAGAATTAAAACTTTTAAGGAGCCCGGCCTGACCAATAATTGGCGAAATCACCAATATGAATTTGGGAATTTTTTCATCGATCTACAAAATATTCAGGCATATTAAAATGGAAGAGACAGTTTCATAAAACATTAATTTGCGGTCGTTCCCCATTTTTTTCATTTGTTCCTCCCTTATTTGCAGGGAAAGTCAGAGAATCTGCTGATTTATATATGATTCTTTATTTTGTGCTGTGACGAATTCAGGTATATATTGCTAAGGAACAATGATTTAGTCCTACTAGAAAATCATTTTTTCAGAAATATCGCTGAACCTAAGTGTGATGAATAATTTCATGTAAACCACTTTTTTTCTCTAAAAGTGTTTATGAAATTCTCTCTATTTACCTTGGATTCATGGAAATTTATCAAAAAAATTATTTCCAGAGGGAGATTAATTTCGCTACGATATATCAAAATTGAAACAAGCGCCATTTTTCTATAAAGACTTTTTTGTCGGACAAAACGACACGTCCAAAAAAAAGTGGAGTTAAAAAATGTTCTATCACCAGAGATTCGGATGATATAAAAGAAAAACTTGCTTTCGAGTTCACCCCAACAACTAATAAAATCATTGTTAATTTTGTGGTTTCAATTTCGGGGAATGGGCAGAGTGGAACGCTTGCTTATTTCGTCTTTTAATACGGACAACTAAACACTCTAAAAGAAGAAATGAGCAAACGTTCCACTTTGACACATGCTCCCATCCCTTTGAAAGTTGATAAAATAAAGTCTGAGCAAAAATTGCTGTTCAATAAAGTTCAGCATTTTTTGCTTCCGCATGGAAGTTTGTAATCGTATTTTTTTTCCATTTCTTGATTTTTGGTGGAAATGCCTAGAAATGTCATGAAACGTGAAGAAATGATGTTTTCAAAAAATGTCTGTATGTCTGTAGGTATGTGTCTGCACATGTGTGTTCGTATGTCTTCATAACTCGAGAATTATTCAGGCAAAGATACTGAAATTCCAGCTGATATTGATAGTACTAAGTTGAGCCGTTCCGTGATTCTTTAAAAATAGTTTCTTATCGATATCGCCTGAACCGTTCGACCGAGTCGATTTTTTTTCAAGATACTCGTTGTGATGATGCCTATTCAATTGGATCGAAAAAAGACCAATTACACCCTGAACAATGTAGTTTTATTCTCGTTTTTTGAATTTCTCGGTGAAATTGCTTGTTCGCGCGATGGCTCAAAAACTAGATAGAAATAAAGTTAAAAGAAAAATAAATAAAAATTGTTGGGGATAAAGTTTCGAGATAGAAACTTAGAACTTGGTATGAGTTTAGGTCCTATGGTAAGAAAGTTAGGGATTCTGGATGAACGAAATCGGATTAGTAGTTTCGGAGATATTCAATTTTCTATGTGAAAATCTTTTGCTGAATATCTCAAAAACTATTGGCCCGATTAAATTTTTTTTTTCAAAATGTTCCTTTTTGATGTCATGTATCTAGATCCAACAAAATATGGATGCCATTCCATTTAAATATTTCGAGATATCGATGTTTTTGTATTCTTTTGGTCAAAATTCACTTTTGCGCACTATGACATAGGTAAAAGTCAGACAAACCTTTTGAAACTTTGGCTTCTATTAGGTGTATTACTTAATTCTCAGCCCCTAGATTAAGTTGATTAGAACACCTATTTGAATTAAAAAAATTTCCCGTAATAATGGGCATTTTGAAGTGCCATCTGTGAACTATCAAACCACTCAAGTCCGATTGTAGTCCGATTAACACGACCTCAAAAAACATAGTAAATAAAAATGTCGTTCGACAAGCAGCACTTGAAGCACTCCCTTCTTTTCACCTTCCACCTTGAAAAAACTGCCGCAGAAGCACAAGAAATGATTTGTTCGGCCTTCAGAGAGAGTGCTGTATCTTACAGCACATATAAAAAGTGGTTTAAAAAATTTCGGAATGGAAATTTTGATCTCCAGGATGAGGAACGTCCTGGGCAACCAAAAAAAGTTGACGACGAGGAGTTGGACAACCTAGTCAATGGAAATCCCTGTCAAATACAAGAGGAGCTTGCTGATAATCTCGGAGTGACTCAATCAGCTATTTCGAGGCGTTTAAAAAGAATTGGGAGGATACAGAAGGAAGGCCGTTGGGTGCCCCATCGGGGTGCTTACCGGTGCTTACCTCGGAAAGCAAAAGTCGACGCTGTGAAATTGCCATGTGCCTACTCACCGGATTCGAACAAAAAGACTTTTTATGTAAAATTGTGACTGGGGATGAAAAGTGGATATTTTACGACAATCTTGAGAGGCGAAAGTCGGGGGTTAATCCGGGGGAGCCGTCAACGAGTACTGCAAAACCGAACATTTACGGAAAAAAATTTTTATGTTGTATTTAGCGGGATCCCAAAGGTGTAATCTATTGTGAGGTACTCGAACAGGGAAAAACCGTCACTGTTATGCGTTATCAGGACCAACTGGTGAAACTGAGTGATGCTATCGAGGAAAAGAGACCTTTTACTGGTAGTGGTACGAGGCAAGTAATGTTGCTGCAGGACAACGCGCGGGCACACACAGCAAAAGAA